CTTTCCCATTCTACTTTAAAAAAACAAAACAAAACAAAACCAAAAAAAACCTTCAAAAATCTGCTTTCAGTAATTTAAATTCAGGATAAAGTCTTCCTGCTAGGGAAAAAAGAAAAAAAAAAAAAAAAGGATTTTTGCAACTTTTAATTTTCTCAGAAAGCTATTGTGAACCACATGACATGTGAAAATGCTGCTCAGAGGCTGTGTTTCAACCCAGAATGAATGTGGAAGTGTGCGTATGTATATATGTGCTTTTGCGGGTGCTTTCTAGATGCTCTACTCAATTAAAGGAGGATGTCAACATTTAGATTGACTCAAGACTAGAAGGTATGTTTTGATGGAAGTTTAGCAAAATCAAACACAGAATGAATTTTCCAAAGTTTATTTTAATTAAAACTTCTTTTTTTCCTGGCTTTTGAAAGATCTCTTGCAGGAATGAAAACCCAAACAGAAAGGGCACAGGCTAATGTATGAAAATGTGTAATGCCTGTAAAGTACAACTAGTTTTATATGAACAGTAAAAGCTTCATAGGATTCAGCTGAAATTAAATTGTTTAAATCAGCTAGAGCCTTTTTATAAGGATAGCACAATGTTGAACTTCTAAACACATTTGTTTTACATGTTAAGATAAAAGGCTGTTTATTGGTAAAAGATTTTTTAAAAAATGACAGTTACAACCTTTAATGTGTGATCTGTAAGCTATCATCTGATGAATTTTGGCCAAAGCCATGGAAGAGAAGCATTTGGAGTGGGAAACCAACCCAAAAGAAACAGAAAAAATAATTTTAAAAATTGCATAGCTTTCAGTGAGTCCAGGAAACCTAGGCCTGGTCTTGGAACAACGCGTAGAGCTGGGTGGTCTAAAGCTGAACTGGTGTTGGAGAATCTTCGGTAATTGTGATTCCCTTCCCCCTCCCCCCCCAACGTTGATAGTACTTCCAAGTTTTGGGTGGTGGGTGTGTCTGTGGCTTGCAATCAATTCTCATGCCTAACTGATTAATACAGATCAGAAATGAGGTTATTTTGCAGTTTAGGTTTTTTTCTTCAAATTTCATTTTCAAAGAAAAGTGGTAAAGGAGAATTGTATATGGGAGCAATTTGTATCTGGAGAGCTTACCAAATAATGTTATAGAAGAGGCTGTATTCTGCAGTATGCTGATGGTTATTACTAGCCGTGGATACCAGGAGCTCCTTGTACGTAATGCATCCCAGCACCATTTTACACTTGCATATGAAAATGTTATCAGAGTTCTGCAGAGTCTGGTAATGATAATACTTCAGCGTTATAACAAATAGGTAGTACTGTTATTTTGTTCTCTATTTTACTATATCAAATCTATTTCATTGCTTACACTGTAGTAGCAGATCGAAACCATCTGCTGTCTTGCCACTGGTCCGCCAGTCTAACAGAAAGTCTCAGTTCATTTTCCTTGAGGCCAGTATGCTTTAAGGCATGTGTTCTAGGACTATAATCCAGCTGCTGAATGTTGATACAAGTCCAGACCTATGCTTATGAGTCTTTTAAATGGAAACAGTGCTCTTTGCCAAGGATTGGAGCTGAGATAAAGTCAGTTTGTTTCTCTCTCTTCCCTCCTCCCCCCGTCCCCTTTACAGCTCCGTCCCCCATCACAGTCATAAGGAAAGACAGGACATCCAGGAACAGCGTGTCTCTCTCTTGGCAAGAACCCGAACACCCGAACGGGATCATCTTGGACTACGAGGTCAAATACTATGAAAAGGTGGGGAGAAAGATTGAAGGGCAGGTTTTTGTGCTGGTAATACTGTAATGAAATTATTGCATCTCACCTATGTTGAGTATTCAGAGTTCACTCACTGTCTGCCTCACTGACACCAAGCGTTGAAACGGTTCAATTTTTGGTAAGGAGAACATCATGAAAATATGAAGTGAAATTGTTAAGTTGTGTTTTCTACCAAGTTTCCCCAAACACATCAGAACAAATACAGAAAGTAATGCAGACAAGCTGTAATACTTTTTTTTTTTTTTCCTTGAGTACAGTTTACTTACTCAGTTCTGTTATGCTGTCAGTATTCATACATTTATTTGTCAGCATCCATGTGTTGGTGTTTCCCTGTGGCGTGAGCATCTTTTAAACAAAAATGATTTGGAAAAGATGCACAATCCTTTTAGTGACTGGTTTGTGCTACGGAAGTTCCCACTTTTCATGAATAAATGAATTCTTCATAAATTTCATGTAAATAACTACAAATCAAAGAAAATCTGCCATTAAATAGGTTCTGCTTCATATTGACTTTTTTTGTATTTACAGCTGTTGATTTCTACATCATATATAGATCTGTATTTAGGAAAAAATAAATCTTTATAACAGAATGGGGTTTTTTGGTACATCTTACTGGTAGAATTGAAAAGACCATAAATTGGTGTGAAGATTGCGAAGAGCAGTATTAACCATTTTTGTACTGGTCAGAGAGACCTTTTGATGGAATATGTTGCTATTGAAGTTGACAAACTTTGAAAAAGTGTCAGAAATAATGATTTAATTTAGCATTTACTAATGCTGTTCACATCTAGGAATCAGGCTTATATTTCATGCATACCAGGAAAGATGTGGTACCGATATCCACTTAGAAACGGCTGTTAAAAAGACTCCATGGGTATTCAGTTAATCTTTAGAAAGTTTTCTCATGGAGCTTACCAGTGGAACTGTGTGGTGTTGATGGTCCACACCTGATCTCCAGCCGAAGAATGGGCATCGGAAGGCCATATTCTGAAAAGATTTCTCCCAAATCAATATGTCATCTGATTTTGGGTAGGGTTTTTTTTTGTGAGCACTTGAACCTTCAAAGACCTCGGTAAAAATATGAACATATGTAGTACTACTGATAAAAGGGGAAAAAGAAAGCTTCCTGAACATTTCAGTTCAGTCTCACCTTATAGAGCAGTAGCCTATAGATTTTCACTTTGTGGTTTTTTTCTGTTATTTCAATGGGGACAGGATCAAGTCTGGATCCTGGGCTTGAGAACTAAAAGAGAACGGGCTCATGCATCAGATTGTCTTTATTTGTACATCCTCAGCACTGAAGGGAGACAGGAAATATTTAGGCTCTCTTGTTTCCAATTTTTTAAAAAAAAGAAAATAGATACTGCCTTTTAGTAAGGCTTGGAAGAGCTGTTTACCTCACAAAGAGCCTATGCCTAAAAGATTCCAGAACTTCAGCCTGTTTTGCACAAGCCAGGTTATTTGTCTGCATAATTAACTTGTGCTTCATTCGAGACCAACCTGGCTGCTCTTGCTGCCGTTGGCCGTACCTTTGTTTTCCAAGAGCTGCAGCAGCCCCGTTTCGGCCCCACCTCCCGTCTCCAAGTGGAAGTCCTTGCCTGGGCGGCGCTGCATGAGTACCGTGGGCTGCTGGACGTAACGCACGGGTGTCTTGCACATTGTGGCGTTAGGGTGATCTCTCTGGTTTTAGTTGCCTCAAAGGGAGAGAATTTTTCCCCCGTGTACATTTAGTTCATTGCAATTGAACGACCGAGAAGTTTTATTTGTGTATCTGGGTTTTTTTGAGGTGTTTTGGTCATCGTTCTACACGGAAATTGGCTTGCTTTATTCAAGAAAATTGTCATCTTTCAGTGCTGCTGTACGCACAGACTGAGCACGCGGCCGCTATTCCCACCGAGTATATCCAGTCTTACAGAGCAACTGGTTGTCATAAGACAGCTTCGTAAGACAACCAGTCTTATGAGGCTGATCTTGCACATGTGTTTCTTCCCTTTGAAGTCTGTGATCAAGAGTTCATATGCACCAGACAGCTTTCTTAAAGCAAAGAGCCAACTGCTTGACGATAGGAGCCAGACCACTTAGAGCAAAGGGTTTTTTAAAAAACAACCTTCTGACACCAGTGTTTTTAATGTGTGGTCTGCAGCCCCTTGGGGAGTCAGAAGCCTGTTCCTCGGGGTTTATGAAAGGTAACCAAGAAAAGCAAATCTATCGTCAGGAGGCTTTAATCCATTACCCTTTTTAGGTCTGCAAATTGAAAAAGGTTGAAAACTACTACTCTGTACATGTTAAACTTACCTGAGGTCAGAGCAGCCCATGCTGGACTGTTACTCTTCATTTCTTCTCCAAACACCTTTGGAAGATGCTGCTTTTCAGCCTGAGATCTCTAAGCAGCCCCCCTCCCCTCCTCTTTTGAAAAGAGAGCTTTCTTTTTAAACTGGTCCAGTCCGTTTGATTTTCTGCTTCAGAAATCATCTTGGTTGCGCTCATCAAAAACCCACTGCTGTTAAGTGGCAGCTGCTAGGAAATAAACCCCTCACAGTTAGCAATCTGGGTATTTCTCCTGACAAGTCGTACGTGATTGCTGGTACATGATTTATGTTGAGGCATTCTTTTCCCTCCTGCTTGTTTTTACTTGCCATACCTTTTGTAATCTCTTAGAAATTAATAAATACAGCATTAATAGAGCAATACAGGTCAGCCCAATTCTGTCATGCACCTTGTCCATGCAAATATTTTGGTTGTGGGGTTTGGGTTTGGTTTTTTTTTTTTACTTTCTTAAGTTGTTCTTAAATTTCAAAGAATACATGGCATTTATTGGCAACTGCATGTTACTGATAATTCAGGACGTTAGAATAGGTTTGGAATGAAAATAGAATGTCATGTATCCAAATTATGATATCCTATACTTTTTCTAATGCCTTATTGGTAAAAAGCGTGTGGAAAATCTTAATAATGCTGTGCTGGATTTTAAGTGTCGCATCTGTCAAAGTGCACGTATAACAAAAGTCACGGGTTTTTTTCTTACACAAGCAGATACTTTGTTTCCTCCTTGTCCTTGCTCACATAATTATGTTCTCTGGAAGGAGTATCTTGTCGTGCAAAGATACGAAAAAAGCCATCACCTAAATACCACACATAAACTATTAATTGCTTCATTTAAATAAGTGGCTTACAATTATGATAACTAAATCCCCCACACTTTATTAAGGTGAGGTCTGCTGCAAACAATGAGTGAAATTTAATTGCAGTCTCACAGTACTAAAGTAGATTTGCCTTTGCCATCATTGAAATTGTGTGCTCGGTAGACTGGTTAAAGCCAACAAATCAATCATGATACCTAGTTGGTGCTCTTTCTGAGGCTGAAAAAGTAAATTCTATGCAAATGCACTTAGTTACTTTTAAGCCCTTATTATTCTGGCTTTTTGGGTAGGTAGGGCACATATATTCCACGGGGTTTGTAGGAACCCGTATCGACAAACAGTTCACGCCTAGCAATACGGGGAAGCACTATCAGGACTGTGGGTTCCAAAATGCTGGCCCAGCCCCGCAGCACCGCAGTGGGACCCCGTGGCCATGTCAGGTGAGCACCCCACCGCCTGCCCGGCCCTCCATACACATAAGATGTGTAGTCTGGTTTTGGCCTCTCAAGTGTACATGCAGCCGATGGAGAAAATGTTCTTCCTCCTATAATATAAACACTTAACTGTGCTTATCTGAAAAAGGACATACCATTCACTCTGGCTATTACTGCCACTATAAATGTGAAACGTATCCAAAATATGTCTTTTATAAAACATAGTTTAAAATTATAAAATGTCATTTGCAAATGAGACACTAACAGTAGTGGGATTTGCTTCCCAGTAAAGATTGTGTCTGGTAAACTATGCAGAAATATTCAGGAGAATACGCTTTGTGCATCCAAGTTCAAATTCATCATCAGGCAAGTGTTTGATTAAAGTTCTGCTTGGCAAAGACTGACTCTCCTTTTTGTATATTCCTTCTGCTTATGGCAGCTATAGTGCTGTATCTCTGAAGTTTTACTTCATCCCCAAGAAAGATAAACTTGGGCTTTTATGTGGTGTTTCACTGATTTGATTACTAGTAATGTAAAAAATGACTTACAAAATATGTGTGTAAAAAACTTACCATAAACAAAGATACCATGACATCCTCCATACTATTGTTTTAAACGTTTATTTTCCAAGTTCCACTGCAGATTATTAACAGACAGGGCCATGACTGTATTTTCCCTTGCACGTATGTATCTGCACAAGAAGGAAATGTTTGCATTTCATAAAAGCAGCCTGAAGTGAGATCAAAATGCATGTCCAGTCATAGCATACACAAAAGATTTTACGTTTTAAAGACAAGGTTATTATGTCTTTGAAATTAAAATAGTTGCCTACATTCAAATGAATGGTAAGGAAAGCCTACAAATTATAATACTAGGCCTTTGTTAGATCAAAAATAAATAATATTACGCAAACCTGTTAGCTCCTTACGCTGTCTTCCTGTAAGTTTTCTCCCCTGAACTTGTAACAGAAAACTTTTTCAGAGAAGTATTGGGAAAGCATGAAGAGGTCCAATGCTTGTTTCCTTTTTATTCTTAGTGTGCGATGAAAATGGGCCATGGTAAACATTTTTATAGTCATTCTTTGAAGACAAAGTCCAGCTCGCCCTATTTGAGGTTTTGATTCTGGATGGTAACTTTTAGGCACAGGCTTAGGCCTTCACTGTGATTACTCATGTGCATCATGTTGAATGCTATGTGGAGATTCTGGCAATTTCCTTAACTATGGTGTAAATGTTTCGGTTTCTTTCTATATCAAAGACTGCCAACAACAGGGTAGTTAGGCTTCTGTAGCACCAAAGTGAACGGTTTCTGATGTCAACCTACTAACTTAGAATAAACCTAACTTTCGTACTCTAGGCAGTGCTGTAGAGCAAACACACTAAAACAGCTCTAGTCACTTGAATTTTTCACGTGAAGGTGAGATGGCTTTGACAATGAGTGTGTTGAGTATTTTCCAACCTCTGCACTCATGCATCAGCACTCTAGTGTTGTCAGAGTTAAAATGTCAGTACCTTGCAAGCTAATGCAATGCTATAAAACATAGTGGGAATTAGGTGAGATTGTTTGCATCTGGCACACGTTAACTTAACTCAGATTCTGCTTTCAACCAGGGAAAACTCAATTATTTTAGTGTATTTCACAGTGTTCAAAGTAAAAGGGGAGCATATGAAATTCCCACCACCTCTAGAATAAAAAAGTTCATCGTTGCAAACCTGAACAACTGAGATTCTCGCAGTTCCACACATGCGTGGCTGCTGTCCAAGATTTTTTCTGAGGCAGCTCCAGCTGCCATTTTTAGGAAGCCAAAAATGTTCCTTTGGTACAGAATGGCTTTAGTAAAATAAGCAGTACCTCAGGCCCCAAATGCATGCTTGAATATTTAGACTATGTGCTTGCAGTGGGACTGAGACATAGTTTTATTAGATTTAGCTTTTTACACAGTGTGAAGTATGTCCAAACTCACTAAATTACAAAATGGTCCATTTCTTATTTTATATAGAAAACCATTGTCAGAAATAGGTGACTGTTAAGCATGTGAGCACATCATCTCTAGTGGACACACACCTTGCTCTTCAGCAAAAAGCTGTAAGGAGCAAACACACGTTTCCTTTCTGGCTACTAAAGCCCAAGACTCATTCAGGAGCAAGTTCAGTGGGGTTTTGCCCAAACGAGGATGGACGCATCAGTCTCACGGGTTTTGTAGTATAATAGAAAACCAGTTACATTTGCCTGTTCGCAGAGCTGAGATGAGGAGCATGAGCAGAGTTTCTCTTCTGACTGTTATAAAGGTAAACACTGTCTTGTAAAACGTGAGGCAGTAAAAACTGTATCCTGCAGTAGATTTGCAGAGCCCTAAAACGTCTAAGTTGGCCTGTTACAACTTCCGTTTCAGTGCAGTAGGCAAATCTGTTTTATGGTTTTTAAATAACTTTAATCTTAATTTTCTTGTTGTATTACAGACTAAGGGCAAAATGATGCAAAGCCATTTAATGAAATGTCATATACTTAGCATGTTTAGTATTTGATTTACAGTACAAGGCCGTAGAAGCTCTGATGATTTGGATTTCTTGCTAATCAAAATATTTTTAGCTGATTGAGAATGAATAGCTGTACACGCATCTGCCAGGCTATAAATATTCAAAAAATATGCTGGTGCTCTCCAGGTGATTATAGTCATTTTGTACCAACCGCCTATTGTTTCTGGGTTTTAGGGTGTGGTTTTAATCTGATAATTTCTCTTCCCAAAAGCAGGAACAAGAGACAAGCTATACTATTCTGCGAGCTAAAGGCACCAATGTTACCATCAGTGGCCTCAAACCTGATACCACCTACGTCTTCCAAATTCGAGCACGAACTGCAGCTGGATACGGGACAAACAGCCGCAAGTTTGAATTTGAAACCAGTCCGGATTGTATGTATTTGTTCAAATGGTTTAAACTGACATTCTGCCCAGTTTCTGACTGATTTGAATGGCTGCTTTCACTCCCTTTCTAGTTTAGTAAATGTGACTCATAACTATTTGTGAGGTGTCTTTCTGGGTAGTGTTACTATATAACTTTATGTTTTATCATTAAACTTGAAACATGCCATAAAGAGTATACCATGAATGTCACAGGTGGTATGTTCTTCCATTCCCCACCCAACCGCTGCCTTGTGCCAGAATCGATACCTGCTGAGAGAGGAAGTTTGATAGAAAACGGGATTCACAGCCTTGTGCTCTTCCAAATTTTTGGCCTGAACCCTATGGTCTATAAACCCCTGCTCCAAGAGAATTAATATTATACTGGTCCATTGCTCCTGTGGGTCAGTGTGTAATTCTCCACATTGCTGCTGACGTCTCCTGTGTAGCCTTGAGACGAAACTAATATGCACAGGCCAGGAAGGATGGTCGTTCAGTTGAGTAGCTGGTCAGGGAGTTGGGCAGTTTGCCTCCTTTCTCCTCTCCGTCACTACGTTCTGGGTGGCCTTGGGGAAGTTATTTACTCGGCCAACCCTCCTTTTTATTTTCTCTAATGTCTAGATAATAACATTATTTAACTGATGACCTTATTGGTATTCTTTACAAGTTCTGCTGTTATATCAGAAAGACTCTTAATAGAGCTCATAATTTTAAATGTTACTTTCTCATTGCTTGGTACTATATAGGAAATCAGACCTTTCATTTGCTAGAAGCTGAAAGTGGCTTAATGCATCAAAAAGTCATCCTTTGTTTAGGTACCGAGTTACCGATGTAGACTAATGCTGCATAATCAAAGACTGTTTGCTTTTTAGAAGGTAGGACTTTCACAGAAGACAGATCTACTGCTCAGAGTTATAACACAACTAAGGACTATAATTCTGATACACTCTAATAAGACTTATTCATGTACTCTTGATAAGGCTTGAGAACCCATGGTGTAAGAAGTGCTCTGCTAAAAGCAACGAAGTTTTAACCAAAACGACTAGCATAAGCCAAATGGTCTTGCACTCGGCATCCATGTGTTTTTGAGATATGTATTTCATCGCCACTTCTTCCCTTCCCCACCTCAGCTCTTATTCTGAAAAGCAAACAAGCTTCTTTTTTAAAAAAATAGTTACAAATTGCTGTTATGGTGACGTGTAGCTTTGGCATACCGGATGAAACTGGAACTCAAGCTAGGACAGACAAGTACAGCAAGGAGAAAAAAAATCTGTTGCGGTGATAGCAAATTTTGTAATTTAGAAGTTAATGAGTTTTCTGTGCAAAGTAATATTAAAAATAGTAACAACAATAATGTAGCTGAGCAAAAATGTGACAGGAGGCAGTGGTGCACATCTCAATAACAAGCGTACAGGTTACACAGATAGACACAAAATCGCATAACTTGATTCCTATTGCCAAGTGATCATAACTATGTGAGTAGAGTTGTAGGTCTGTAATAGGCAGAGGCTTCTTCCCAAGGGGAATGGTGTGACTTCAAGCCATCATGAAGACAAATTGTCCAATTTATGGGGAGCAGGAGGGCTAGCTTTCAGCTCAGTTTGCACAACTAACTTGAAGCGTAGTGCTAAGGAGCCTAATTCTGCTATGCTCGGTGAAGTTCAATAGGTGTCTGCTGAAGATGGTTCATCATACCTAAGGTCTAAAGGTGTCCTGTCATTGTATAGCAGTCTAGCGCACTGAAGCTCCATGCTTAGGGACTGCAGGGAAGCATCCAACATAAGGCAGAAAATAGCCCTTCTTTTTCCTATAGGCATTGACTAACCATGGATGGTCCTTCTATCTGCTTCTGTGTGCCCTGGCTTTTCACAGCCTTCACAGGGATACTGTCAGGCTTCGCTGGGAAGCTTAATTCATTAAAGTACTTTCCGTCATACAGAAGTGAGAGTAAGGGTGATGATTGTTGACTGGCTGGGTCTTCTTGCCAAGGAAAAACTCCTTACTGACCATGACAAAAAATATGTATGTTTGCATTTACATATATATTTTTATATTTACAAAATATATATTTTGTAAGTATCAGTTTAACAGCAGTTACTATAATCAGCGAGAGTAAAAATCAGCAGTAGCAGAAACAACTTTGGTAAATTGTCAAAGAAGGCCTGAGTCTTTTGTTTTCTTCTCTTGTATTTATTTGTCTGATGAAAAATTACTTGGTAGATTAAATATTTGACAGGAGACCAAATGCTACGTAGTGATGACTTAATCTGTCTGCTCCCTATATGAGTGTCAATTGTGATGTAATCAGTCTTTTGAATGTGTGTGGTTATTTATATATTTTTGTGTTAACTTTCCAGCATTCTCCATTTCCAGTGAGAATAGCCAGGTCGTAATGGTTGCCATTTCAGCGGCGTTAGCCATTATTCTCCTCACAGTTGTGGTGTACGTCCTGATTGGGAGGTTAGTTTATCGTCTGGTTTGCACATTTACTCCCACTTCCATTTCCCCGAGGGGCCTTGATGAGCATGGCAAATTGGTGTCGTTGGGCAGTAGCGTGGCTGGTTTGCACCTTCTCCTTTGTCTGCTGCCCAGGAGCTCCGAATACTGCTTCGTGCTCGGTAATGAGCCCGCTAACATTAGCAGCCCCAATCATGCAGCAGTTGTTAAAAAACGCTATAAACACATTCTTAGGCAATTGTAAAATTAAACTGTAGGGGTCAAAAATCAACAAATCCTCTCATTAGCCAATTTCCTCAAATTCCCTGAGAACATAACATGCCTCTATAGGGCACAGAGAATGTAAATATCATTAAACTTTCAAACAGGCATTTAATTGTGGAGGGAAAATATTTTATTCTGTTTCCACCTGCAGTTAACATATAAAATTCTCTATTTTAATGTTTTTTCTCTGTTGCTTGTAGATTCTGTGGATACAAGAAGTCTAAACATGGCACAGATGAGAAAAGACTACATTTTGGGAATGGCCATTGTAAGTTACTGAAGCCTTTTAATGCTTCCAGATCTGTTGAATTTTTCCCCTAGACAACTGGTATTTTTCAATTTAAAAGAAAATGTCATACTTCACTTAAACCAAGGTGAAATTGGGAAGAGAATTATCTCTTCTCTTGTGGGTAAGGAGATTTTCCCCAAACAATTATTCTTTGTTTCAAATTCTTTCATCTGTGTTCAGGTTAGTAATGAGCAAAACATCGCTGTCGATGTTCAAACAGTGCGTGTGCTTAGCAATATGCTATTGATTCTGCTGTGCATTACTGAAATGCAGAGTGTAACTTCAACTTCCTCGTTATTGGCTGCATAAAGTCTAAGAAATGACATTTTTTTCCCCAAGCAAAATATAAAATCAGTGAAACCTGTCTTGATGACTACTGAAGGGACTGAAGTGAAAATTGCTTGCTTGACAAAGTCAACCCACTAATAATTTAGTTTGGAATTATTCTAAGCATAGGCTGAAAAGTGATTTGGAGTAGTTTCTTAAATTAAGAGTAACTACTAAACAAGGGTCTCACAAATTAATGGGATTTTTTAAAAATCCAGCTCTGTGCACAAACATGTTTTGTTCAAGTCCTGATTCCCCACTTGCAAGAATGAATATGTCTATGCTTTCTTTGGGTCTCATCCAGGACTGAGAGCCTTTCTGTTGACTTACATTGTCTTTGTATCACAAAAATTGTCTATAGTTAAGGATGTGAGATTTTGCTCATCCTGAGGAATGAGGGCTACTTTCAAAATGTGTTCAAAAGCCAAACCTGAAGCCTGTCTATTTCTGATGTTTGCATACCTATTTTTAATAAGGCTACATGGGTCTTCATTCATGGCTACTCTGGGTTGTTCGGCTGTACCCTGTGAAAGGAACAGCATGGAGCAAGATCCCATCAAGGAGATGCTCAGGCGAAGAAGTGTTTTATTTTCTGAGCCTGGGCATGTATCCTGACCACCAAGAAGAAGTAGCTTGCTATGGCCCATGGCTGGAGGGGGATGTCATCCTGCAGTATTTTAACCCCTCTCTGATCCTGGATCCTCTCTGCAATGTGCATAACCCTGCAGCACTTTTCCGCAGCAGAGGTGCTGTGAGTTGTGAAGACTGGATCACAGTCAAAGCTCCATCCATACCCTCTTTAAAATAGAAATAAATTAGTTTTGGAGCAGGAGAAGCTGAGGGGAGAGGAAGGTGACAGTTTAACATTCCTGATCAGGAGTGGAGGGAGGATTTCTTGGGTTTTTATCACTGCATTTTAGATTTTTTTCATCCTTACAGGGTGAAGATAACACCCTTCATAAACACCAAGACTGGAAATTCCTTTTTTTCACCCACAGAATTCTTGGTGTCTAATGAGCATGTTTTTAATAAGAAGCAGTAGTTTGTCTTTGAAAGTGTTTCAGCTCCAGACAAAGATCCTGCTACACCATGTAAATCATGTTGAACCATATATTTCTATTGCTTAGCATGTTGTAAGGTTAATGTGTGTGGTTTTTTTGCACACAACAGTGGCGCTGTACCGTCTGCAAGAAGAGAGCTGTTGGTACCATAATCAGATGCCTCCCCACCAAATATGATTGAATTAACATTTTAATGAGGGATTTACCTGCAGTAGTTGGAAATTAGAACTGCTTCCTAATCCCCATGACAATGGAGTAACTGTTCTCTGACTGTTCATATTATTACTATTTTAAGTTTGGAGCCCCTCGTTATCTCCAGAGAGCCGTGAGCGTGCATATCCACAACACGTGTGCTCCTTCCCCTGCACTGTCAGGGGATACCCAGGCTGTAACAGTGGGTTGCTTCGTGCAGCCCAACAACCGCTAACCAACTAGTACCGAAAAAATCTATACAGTTACATGTGGCCCGTAGAATTAATGCTTCATCATCCAAATTTAATGAGGTTATAAAATAAAAGCAGCCAGTAAAAAAAGTGTCACAGACAAGTAACAGGTCAGAATTTGCTCTCCTTACTCCCACACAATGGAAAGTTGCAATCACTATTTTTAAACATGTCAGTGCTGTTAAATTCCTCTGGATTAAACTGCTTTTAATTTGGCTTTAGATATTTATATACTGTTTTCTGAGTAGTGCCATGCTGATTCACTGTGTTGTAAGAACAGAGCCGATTGTGGACCTGGTATTTCTGTTAGAAATTCTTGAAAATTATTTATTGATTTTGCAGATATTTATCTGTTAGGATTTGTACATGTGTGGCTGTTGAAACTTTATTCTACTAAATTACAGTCTTTCTCAAAGAATAAGAAAATTGCTCCTGTGAACTAAAAGAGGATAAAGTAACTTCCATGCCTGTCGTAAACTTTCAGCATCTTAAATACAGCAGCTGGTTTATTTCAGTCAGTTTATTCTGAATTACTTTAAAAAAGGCTTCAGCCATGAACTATTCCCTGCAGCCTTATTACAAATCCTATAATATTACTTCAAAGGAGCAAAAATGTTTCACCTCCTCAGATCCTCTCCTTTTGCCTTCCTAGGCTAGGCCCTTTTATTTTTTTGCTACCTTTAGGGCAATTCATGCTGTTAAAATGAAAATGTAAATTATTATGTTTGCACAGAATGAGCTGTAAAGTAGTACAGCTTAACACATGTGCATGTGTTTATTATCTGTTTTTCATGACAGAACCCAGTTACTATACAGGCTGCCCTTAATTATTGGTGTGAAGGGATTATTCTCCTTGCAGTCACCATCACCTGATCTTGGGAACCTCTGGGGTCAGCATTAAAAATCTGCAGCCAAAAACCCCACAGTGCAGAAGCTTTTAATTGTTGTTATTTTTATTGGGGGTATGAGGGAGCCTGTAATGTACATTCAGCATGGACGGAAAGGAGCATTTACGAGATTTTTAACTAACAGCAATATACAGCCAATTACTTTTTGTTTTACTTGCAAGTAATTCTGTAATCATCAGGCTCTTGATGGAAACTCAGTCAGCATTTAATGCCACGCACACATAGCCCATGTGTTAAGGGCATCGCTCTTAGTTTGCATTGTTTTCAAGGCAATTAGCTTGGGAACTCAGTTTTATCATTTCTGTGTCAATTCTGAGGCCAATAAATCTCCATAATTTTTTTTTTTTTTTTTTTTACATACACTTGGGATTGTTTGACAAAACAATGGTATGCTCTAACTAATGGTCCAAAGGTATTTTTTCCCATCTGTGTAACCCTAGCAAAAAAGGTTTAACTATTCTAGCAGTCAACAAATTGATGCAGTATAATAATGCCACGCTGGAAAGGATATTCCTGAGTGGGTTAAGGCAGTGTTTGTAGGAGGAGTTAATATCTTTTACAAGACCAACTGGTACAGTTAGGAAAAGCTAGAATACATGTCCAGGAATGCAGGTTTTGTGTCGGAAGCAGAAATCTTCAAGCTGGATGTAAGGGTTATTTCACTTTTTGTTAACAAAACATCTTTGTGTTCTAACATGAGTACAGAGGCAGGCACACAAGGTACCGGGTACAAGCACAAGCAGGGCATTGAGCCGAGGAAGAGGAATGAGGCTATGCTTTGCCTTGAGCATCTTTGCTGGAGAGAAAGGTTGGGAATGATATTATGTTCCTCTCACCCCCAGTCCTGCTGGAGGAAGAGATGTGGAGAGCTTGAAACTGCCCTTAAAAATCATTCAGTCGTTTGAACTAGCGCTTGCCCTGGGCAAACAGAATAATCCCTGGCCAGGAAACTGCAGAGTGGGACAAAATAATCACATGGATGTTAGAGTAACTGAGCACTAGAACCAGACTTTAATAATAACAACTGGCTGCCATCCTTGGATGTACTACCAGAGGGATTGAGGCAGAGGTGCATTTGTTCATGTATAATTTTCTTTTCTTATGCATCTTGTTGGAGGACTTAAAAAAAAAAAAAAAAAAAAAGGTTTGAGTTAATGTGCTCTCCTTAACATATTCCTAAGAACTTTTCATGTTGACTGTAGCATCACACATTTTGTTCCCTTGCCTTTTTGTTGTTACCTTGAAAGGGACAATATAAGGCAGCATCTAAACCTAGCAAGCTGGGAGGGGTGTGTAGTATTTTAATATTTGAAAAGCAGTTGAATATGGCAAGTGCAGATATATTTAAAATTGGTTTTCAGACTTCTGTGGAATAACTACATTAGTGTCTCTGGTTTCACTCTATATTAACAATCCTGAAGACCCAACAAAAGCAGTTTGATTTGAAGAAGCAGTATACCTTTTTCTTCTATTGATTTGATTTCTATTGTCTCATGAGCTTTCTTTAGAAGGATTAATTAAGTCTAAGTAACATTTTCTCTCTGAATTTGTTTTTACACAGTAAAACTCCCAGGCCTGAGAACTTACGTAGATCCACATACGTATGAGGATCCCAATCAAGCTGTGCATGAATTTGCCAAGGAACTAGATGCTTCTAATATATCCATTGATAAAGTAGTTGGAGCAGGTAATGACCATCAGATATATTGAACTAAAGATAGCTTTTTGCTGTTTATACTGGTTTACATCTTTGGGTTTATACTTGTGACTGGTAAGAAAATGTTCTAAAGTCTTCAAGTTAGTAGGTTATATTTACAGCTGACTTCAGTGCATATGAAAAGTTAACAACACACAGTTCTATTTTTTTCCCCAAAGAAAGCAGATAGCAAGACAGTTTTTCAAAGGACACCAGTCAGCCCACACTTGAACGCAGCACTGATGGGAGTGAAAAGAGTGTTCAGCCTCACTTCTACGTTTCTCTTTAAAATCTGTCAGCACAGAAAATGGTATCAACTGTGAAGATGTTTTCTTTTTCCCCTTAAAAGTGCTGTTGACTATTATGCCTTGAGTGAAACCACAAACTCATTTCATACCAGTCACCATGCATCCATCAGACTGCAATGACCTTTGCTCATTGGATTGATTTTGGTCACTGCTTTGGATTTGAATTATCGATTTAGGAGGAAAGGGTTGTCTGTCTGATAACTAATAGTCTGAACCATACAGATGCCGTAGATTGTTGGGTTTACAGAAAACAGACTGTCAAAATGAGCGGATTTTGTAGCAGAGGAGCGAGATTACAGAAAGTCTCATCACAGTGAGTTGCCCATGTTGCAAAGGAGCATGTAGTTCCTGATAGGATGTGTGCTTGCTCCTTGAAGTGGCAGATTGTCTCATTGAGTCAGAACATCATGAAGTGTTACCTTTCCTGCTAAATTAAAGCATTGGTGAGAAGTAGTATTGATTTTTAATCCATTGAAAATTACTAGTTCTTTTATTATTGATTTTTTGCTTCTCTCTAAATTTACTATTTGAATTAAAATCACAAGATGTGAGCGAGACAGAGTCCTAGTGCACAGCAAAAGATTTTCATTTGGAAGAAAAAGTAGAACCAAGCTACTGTACTCAGTGCACCTCCCGAATCACCCAGTAAAAAGAAGCAGTATCCATCTTCTCTTACTGCAGCTACTCAACTGCTTGTATGAAGTTAGGTTATTTTCTGCAAAAGTAGAATTTTTGTTTCTTGCTGGTTTTAATTTTGCCCCACAAGAGTGCACTGTTTCCATCATCTTCAGTCAAGGCAGCAAAGCTCTGCTTACTGCACGTAATAAAGAATTAATGGGGATAGAGAATGGGGGTTACTGAAAAGCTAAGTCCAAGAGCAGTATGCTTCCTTATAAGACTTTCAGGAGCCTTCATTCACAAATGTAAGGTTTCTAAACTTGGGCTGTAGGCGGTATATGAATTTGGAAAACAAATTCATAAGAATCGATGATATGTCATATTTTATAGCTCATTGTTCATACCTATTTTTAATCAGAAAGCATATGAGAATGAGAGGTACACCAAAATTTGCCGAATAAGGCCTCTGAAAATGGAGGAAGAGTTCTCTGAGAGGCTTCAAAAAAGGGGTATGTCCTGAAAGAGTCAGGTGGTTTAAAAATAAGTCCCTTTGCTCCACTCCAGTGAAAGTGACAGTAGGTTCCTGCAGGTCCTCTGCATTGATGCTTGGACTCAAGATATAATAAAGCCATTTGTTGGAGACCATGACTCGGGTTCATGTAGCCTAAACTACATATGGTGTTACAGTTAGTATTTCCTATTAGCAGTTGCCAGAGATGCCAACAGGAAGAGCCAGGCAGGAAAGAACAGGCTACAGAGTGCTGGGAGTTTCCAAAATGCATTTGTAGCATCACTTTACACTGCTGTCACGTTCAGCACATGGTAGCTTTTGCATTCGGAGTGAGTGCCTCCAAGGCTGCTTCTGCAGGAACACTTCTTTCCTCCCCAAAAGCAGAAAGGCATTTCCTGTCTCTTACTTGAGTCAATGAGTTATTTGACTGAATGACTTGGTCTTTTCCTGCCCTTCTTTACAAATGCAAGTGTGAATGAAATTATAAGACAGTGATTTGAGAAGAAGGGATTCATTTAACTGCATTGAAATGTGACGTAAGCAATGAGACCTTCAAGTCAGGCAAGTAATCTTGATATTCTGAGGTACTTTTCCAAGTAGTTTTTCACAGCTTTAACCAGAAGTCTCTGAGAATAGAGGGCAGCTTACATAGCTTTGAAAACATACCCAAATGCAATAAGGAAATACTTTTGTCCAAAAGAACCTCAAGAAAAACACAAGGGATTTTAGTGGGAGGCTAAGCATAAGAAAACTGAGGTCAGGAGCCACTTTTTCAGATTTTTCTTTACAGTAATTCTTTCTCTGAAAACAGCTCGTTTTTATGGATCCGGTTAAGCAGACCACTTAGTTTAAATCCAGTTGGATAGCAAGAGAATACTACAGAAAGTAGTTTCTTGATTTGGGATAGATTTAAGTATGTGCTTTGCTGAACATGAAAGCAAGCACTTGCTTTTCTTTCAAATTTTAAACATACCTGTAGCATAACATCTTGTTGATCAAAATATTTCTAAAATTTAGGGGCTACCTGTCCACGAGCTTATTGTGAAGGTATGCAGTGTCTCAGTGAGGGCTTGTAGAATGCTGCTGAGGTTCACGTGGTTTATGAAACATTCAGCTTAGGTGCCTCTCTAACTCCGAGGGAGTTCTGTGCACAGCAGTACAATCATGATTTAAAACACAGCAAAGTAAAGGGAGTAGCTAATTTCACAGAGTCATCTTTTACTTGTCCCCTGGGTCTAAATGCACAGCAAATGCCAGTGATGCACTAAGTAGCCTATTTAAAAATAAATTAAGATCTCCTGAAGAGAGATCTTTATATCATGAACAGCCCTCCTAATAATATCGCTTTGCTTTCCGTATGTAAATAGACATATCAGTCTGCAGGGCAGGTTATACAATATTTATGTGTGTAGCATAATTAAAAATAAACACTTCAGAAAGGCTTTACATGAAAAACCATCAACCTCATCTCTTAAAATCAGTGCCAGGTTATCTACCTTCCAACTCAAACACAAGTCCTTATTCCTCCTAAACAATATCTGATGAGATCCAGTTCATTTCTTACTGGGACCATATAATAATGATTTGGGGTGAAAGAGATGTAGTGTAACTGCATGTCACTATGGGTGTTGACCAGATAGACTTATGTAGCATCCATACTGCCCTGTATATGAAAGAACCAAAAGTTAATGTAGTTGGGCTGCCCACTGAGCTTTTTCCAGCAAAATTGTTTTCCAAGTAAACCCGTTTTATATTCACGGACAACAGTAAGCTCCACTGCTATGAAGGATCTGACTTTGAGTCTCTTGCAGCACCCACTGCCCTCGAGGCCCTTGTGGAATCTGATTAATCACCCAAGTTCTAAATTGTGCAGCCATGGCTAAATGGGACTGTGTTGATGGACATTAGCCGTAACCTTTTCCTTCCCAAAAGTCAAATGAATATCAAATATACAATTCTGGTCAGAAATGAAGGATTGATTGCTGGACTGCTTGCTGAAATCATAGCTATAGTCTCCATTGACAGTAACTGAACTGAGGTTCAGTTATAGCTTTTTGGAGCATGAAAACACAGAGAAAAGGGAATATGAAGCTGGACATTACAAGATTTATTTCAAGCAGTTTTCTCCCTTCCTTCTGTTTTCAAGATGTGCTTCGGTCTTCCTCTGTCGGTGCTCTGACAGTGTTGAGCTGGGGTTAGTATTTGAACTGAAGCAGTGTTTGCTCTTGGTAAAGTATACTAGTTATTATGACTTGTAGACGTTGTATATTTTTAATTACGAAGTCTGAATAGAACTCAACACTCATTAATTACTAGTAATAGGTTTTACAGTTAGTTTTCTGAGCTGCTGCATGTCTTGGCAGCCTGAAATACAAATAATGTTAGAAACAACATATGTAGTGTAAGTGCTATTTTAGTAGCATATACGTATGTAAAGATATACCCTAATTTTAATTTTTTTGGTTATTACATGTATAGCACAGTACCATGCCTAGATGATGAAGCAGCTCAGCCAGCAGCTGGTGATAAGATACAGTGAATTCACTTCTATGTTGTTGACTCAAATCTAGCCTGGGTTAGCAAAAGAGAAAGGTCATTGCCCTATGACACATTTGTTCAGTTTTTTTGGTTAAATTGGCTCTCTAACAGAGAAACCTTAGAAAATAAAGCTGAAAAGTGACCTCAAGAGGTCATTAAGTCCACACCTTTGCCCAGTACAGAACTTGTTAGGTACCGTTCTTGACAGATGATGATTCTTTACAATCTCCAAGATAAAAGAGTTTATAGCCTCCCTAAAAAATCTTTTGTACTGTCCAAGTGTCCTTACTGTTAGAATTTTTTTCCTGATCTGACTGAACTTTATTTTAATCTGCACCTATTCTTTGGTTTGGCTCTTGTGTATAGAAAAAGGAGTTGGTGTCCATCTTATTTATAATCATAATTTTGATAAGACAAAACTATTGTCACATGTCTCTTCTCATTCCTTGCTGTGGATAAATAACACCAATTCCTTGAACTTTGAATGTGAACACAGAGCCCTGACTTTTAAGATTCTGGTCATTGTTATTACTCCCTTTATCATTCCTGAATTGCAGTGCCACAAATGGGACATGGACTCTAATGCCAGCCATATTGGTGGCCAGTTGATGGAAGAATAATTTCAATTTGCAGATAAATGGACTGAATGTAACATCTAAAATGCATCCCATGTGGTATCGCATCCAAAGTCAATGGTGAAGGGCTGTCAATCCATCACATATTTCTGAGCATTAAATATATGAAAAGCAACATGATTGAAATTTGCCTATTAAAAATATCTTATTTCTGTGGGTTTTGGTCATTTTTAGTTTTCACAGATGTTGCTTAATGTAAACAATCAGCTGCAGAGATAAAGAAAGAATCATTGTAGGCAAATGAGCTCCAAGAGCCTTTGCTCTTTAGAGGCATAGTAATGCTATTACATTTAGGATTATTACATATTAAGTTGGGAAAAGCTGATATGTAAGAGTATAATCACTC